TACTGTTAAACTGAAACAAATAATGAGACAAAAACTCATCATTTTTWCACAAATTAGTTCAAAACTTAAAATCCTGTTTTAGTCAAGCCTGGTTTGATTGAAGTCAAACTTTATTTGTATCAAATGTTTCCTGCAGAGCAGCTCAGTTTGTTTTCCATCAAGAATAAAAGCAGTTAAAAACACATGAAACAGCACGTGCACTAACAGAATTCATYAAACAACACAGAGAGACAAACTGCAGCACAGCAGAATCAGAAAAGATTCAAACTACAGAGAAAAACTGGACCTGACCTCATGGGGTCAGAAACACAGAGCAGGTCTGACAAGAACAAGGATTTTAGATTCTGACCCAGATCTGATCTAAGGTAGCCTAGCCCTTGCCTTCCCATGCAGCTCCGCTCAATTTTAGTTTCCTTCACTGCTCCGTCTGGGACTTCTCCCATTGACAAGGATTTCACTGGCAGATTTTTAGCCGGACCAATAAGAGAACAGAACGTCAATTTTCTGCGCAGTGTCTGCTTGTAGCATATTTTACCTGGACCAATCAGCAAACAGAAGGAGGAGTTTTGTACGACGTCGATTTTATGCACAGTGTCTGCTAGTTATTTTATCATACGGCAGTGGAGGAAGTGAATGAAGCCAGTCTGTGTTGATAAGGCTTCAAATTAAAATAAATTTGTCTGAAAAAGCAGCAGCTCTCATTTTCAGTCRTCTCGTTCGGCTCGGTACTTCTCTCCTTCCAGTAGGGTTGTTTACAGCACACGCTAGACAAAACACACACATGCTTCAGCAGAGGCCACGCCTCCTGCAAGAACCACTTCTCGATGCATCAAGTCCAGACCCTTGTATGAAGCAAAGTGAAGGACAGGGTCTGGTTTAAACCAGGCTAGATCTAAGGTGGTCCAAATGTTCAAAATAACTGAAATCTCCCTTTAACTGCTGAGCCTGAGCAGACAGAAAAAGGCTGTCATATTATAACAGACGCATTAAAAACTGAAATCATTTCACAACATAAACTTTTTAAGTCACTGAATCTGTTTCAAATTAAATCAAAAAATGAAAAAATAAACAGCTGATCTCTGATCAGAGGAGGTAACCATGGAGATGAACGGGGGAGGGGGCTGTGAGACAGAAAATCAATATGAAGCTATGTTTTTCATTGACAATCTGTATAAGTTGATCTGAATCTATTGTGTGATATTTGAATCCAAAGTAAAAAGAATGAGGCAGATTTGTTTAGAAGAAAAAAATTATAATACGAGACCTCTTGTCAAAAAGTTTGATAGATAACCCCAAAGGTCAAGGTTTGAAGATGCTATTTTTGCATCAAAAACGCTGGAATATTAAAACAGTCATTTTATTTTATGTAAAAGATAAGTATTAATCTGATTAATATACAAATAAAAACAGAATATTTAGCACTAGATAAAATAAAACATGGATTTATTTTTTTTAATGTTTTCTAGTTTTAAGTTAATATGTTGGTCAATTTAAAGTTTGACTTCGCCTCAGAAATAATCATTGCTTCATAAACCTCTGTGTGAGTGTGTGTGTTTTATTTATTTATTTACTTATTTTTAAAGTACCGATTTAAGTACCGTTTAGGAACCGGTACCGTTTTGAAAGTATCGATTTAGCACCGGTATCGAAATAAACCTTTTCAATACCCAACCCTACTTTTGACTAGAATTGACAAGTTCTATTCTGTGTTTGTTAGCGTAGAAAGATAGTTTTTAGCTTATGAGTGATTCAGTAATATATTTTACCCGTATTTGCTATATAGAAGCCATCTTGTTTAAGCTTACGTCACCATTAGTTTGGTCAGAAGTCTGATTATAAGATTGTAAAACTGGTGTTTTTATCTGTAAAATGATCTGTGTTTTTGTTGGAGAATTTATTACTTTTATTCTTTTGCTTTACACATGTAGTTATCTCTRTTTTATTTCTATAAGTGTGATTTCCTTTACATGCTTAAAGGAACAAAGTGCTGTCACTTGTTCTTCTCTCTGTTTCCAGGAACTGCAGCGGAGGTGCGATCGAAACCAGAAAGCCAGACRAGCACGAAAAGTTCAAACCGCACCCGGCTGCAATGCAAATGCATGATAACACATCATAAACAGTCTTTTCTTATCTCTTGTGAAATGTCTTGACTTGCTTGCGCTGTTGCTCGACTTCTCCCCCCTCCCCTCAGGAGCAACAGCGCTGTGTAACTAGGCTTATCCAGTTTCAATAAATAGTGAGGAAAACCAGAGACRAACTCAGAGTGTGTCGGAGATTGTAACCGATTACGTCTCTGAAGCACTCTCCTTGCAAGTAAAACTTAATTAATTCTGTCTGTGTCTTTCCGTTCAGTTTGTACTTCACTAATGTTTGGTGTTTAGACCTGACATTAACTTGGTCCTTCAAGCCGGATATCAAGAGACCTGACGGTTCCAGCGGGTGGACGAGATCCTGGTAGAAGTCTGTGGCCACAGCATCAAGTCCCGTTTCCGTGGCCAGCCCTCACCTGCCAGCTGGGACCTGACGGTTGACGATATACCAAAGGAGCGACACACGCACAGGCGAGTTGATCTTAACTTAAAAAGGAGTGAAAGAATGATTTAAAATAGAGAGTAAAACGTGAAAACCTTGCCAATCCATGCACTTACAAGTAAAAGAAATAAAAACAGTTAAATTCCGTAGGGACGGCGGCGTCCTCTGTCATAAACAGTTAAAGCCCGCAGGACGGCGGAGTCCCCTGTTTAATAAACTGAAGTAAGAAGCGCTAAAGTTAGTGAGCATTATTACTCATAAAAACAAAATAATAGAATAAATAAAAATAAGAAAGAGTGAACGAATGAATAAGTGAGTGAAAGGAAACTCCTTTTCTACTGAGAAACTGAGTTTCTTATAAAAATCTGATGACAAATGCAGTAAGTATCAGTGGATGCAGAGGTAAGAGAATCAGAGTGTGTGGGGTTCTACCACTGATAAATTATCACTGTGTTGTCAGATAAATATATCCAGTGTTAGAGACCCTAGGTCTAACCCCCACTRRATACAAAAGATTTCAAAAACTGGAGATACACATCTCAGATCAGCTGGGCTCTTTAGATCCAACGCATCCCAGAGTACAGGAACTCCTCAGGCTAGCACAACCATTATTAGAATTAGTACAAGAAAGACCTTAAACTAAGGCCATAATATACGTGGAACCACTTACAAATAGCCGATCTGATAGAACGCTAGGACGAGTTGTAATAACCCTAAGCGATCCACACTTACACAATCAGGTGACTTTCACAATACGTCTAACAGGCCTAAGTTAAAATGGGGAAGTCAAATAGCAAAATAATAGATGAATTACAATGTAAAGACTGGAAGATAATGCAGGAAAAACACCCAGGGTCCACCAAATACCTGSCAAAATGGGTTACTAAACACAAATTTACAGGACAACTTAAACAACCCAGTATAGGAGCATTGAGACACTCGATAAAAACCAAATGCAAAAATGACCCTAAACAAATGAAAAAGGAAGGCTTTGAGCACACAGAGGTGTGGCTACAAGAAGCCAGAGCGAGAGATAAAGGCCAGAATAAAGTAGAAAAAAAGAGAGTAGCAGAACAGCAGAAGGAGCAAGAAGATAAAGCAAGTGAAGAAAGACGAGGAGAGCAAGCATGAACTAAACAGCAAATGTTTACCAGGCAGGAAGATAACGAAGTAGTGGTCTCCCCCTATAGAGTTTTAATCAACCAAGTTCACAATCCCCCACGCCTTGATAGGGAGGAATAGGAAGCAGCAGAACCAAGTGCACCTCTCCCTTATAAGGACACACAAAGGGCTACTAGAAGTCATGGAGAARGACGTGAATGGTCTAAAACGATGGGGAAAGTATTTTCTCCCACACTCCCTAAACCTCTGACTAACAATGAACATGAAGTTGAAATCTGTCCACTCATAGCACTCCCCCACCCTATGATGGGTCAAGACAACGGTGCAGGAGGAGTACATCCAGATCAGGTATTAGTTTACCGAACATGGACCCAAGAAGATGTTAAAAAAGCATGTGAAGGCATACCACCCCCTAAAGAGGATGTTGAACAATGCATCCAAGGGGTAGCCAATCTAAGGGCCTCTTATCACCTAAATGGAGTAGAATTGCAACAGGTATGGATGTGTATCATGGGAGCCACCTGGCACCTGGTTAGAGGCGACTATAATCCAAATGATGATCAAAACCCTCCTAGACCTCTAGCCCCGACTAGCGCTATGCTAAATCAGAGAGCCCAAGCACTAAGCGAACGTGTCAGACAAAGGTATCGACAGTGAGCAGACTATACTGAAATAGGACGCTGCAGACAAAAAGATGATGAACCCTTTGATGACTACAGGGTCAGAATGACTAAAGTTTTCAGAGCCCATAGTGGACTAGTGGAGGACGGTAATGAAAATGGCCCATACCAACAGCAGTTAAAAAATGCATTACATGCAGGATCAACCTCACAAATACACCATTGGGTAGCTAAACATTATATAGGACTCCCAAATGGAACACTGTCAGATTACTTAACGCATGCTGAAAGAGTAACAAAGATTAAGAAGACCTCTAAATCAACCGAGAAAGCAACCTTCTGGGTTGAAGAGGATGAACACACTGTCTACTGGCAGAACCCACAAATTAGAGGAAGAGGTAGAGGAAGGAGCAGAGGAAGAGGGAGAGGAGGACCTTCTAGGGGCATGGGAAATCCTAGGGCCTGCTGGTCCTGTGGAAAAGAGGGACACATGGCTAGAGATTGTAGAAACAATCCTCAAAACAACCCCTCCAGTTCAGCGTGACTAGAACCAGATTATTCTGAAGAAAAAGAAAGCGAGGCAGAGACAGAAGTGATGAACCTGGAAGACATTTTATTTGAAGAAAAAGTAAGGCCTGAGGTGACATTAAAAGTAAATGGACAGAATGTGGTGTTCCTGTGTGATAGTGGAGCTTGCAGAACCACACTCAAACAACCAATAATGGGGGTACAGCAGAGTAAAACCTCCATCTTGGTAAGGTCAGCACAGGGAAATTTACGCAAGGTCCCAGAAWCTTGTCCCATCTGGATAAGAGATCCATATGGAAAATCGTGTCAGATGTCCATTCTCATGATGCCCAGCTGTCCAGTAAATCTGTTGGGGCGTGATGGACTTATAAATTTAGGACTATCCCTCATCCCCACAGTTGATGGAATAACAGTTGAAAGATTAGGAGAGGAAAAATCCCTTATGGTGTTAGAAGGTCATGACACCCCTAGATTCTATTACACGCTAGAAATCCCAAACAAACCTCCAACCAAAGTAGGGGAAGAACTTTTAGAAAAAGCTAAGCAACACCTGCAGCAGATCCACRACAAACATACCCCAGACGAACTTCATGTATCCATGAGATACATGACCAAACCATGACCAGATGTCCAGTATTTCAAAAACTTAGAAAAGCTAACCCCAACTAACATCACAGTGTCTTACCTATATTCTGACGGGAAGTAGTGCAACAGTACTGGCAGAGCTTCCCCCTGCCCTGGAGAAGGAACATAGAGGATTTAGTCCGCCCCATATCTCTCTATACAAAGAAAAAGGAGCAGAATGGAAAGATCTAGGTAAACTAGTGAACCAAGGACAGAACGCACAGGATTTGCAGTCTATAAAAGACAAAACCTATTACAGYCCAAGCACAGGCATGTATAGGATGAACCTGTTTTGGACAACACCCGTGAAAGCAGCCACACACATGACAGAGGCAAGCAGCTGACAGATTTACTTGACTGAAGAAGAAGAAAAACTACTTACAAAACAGATTCCTGAACAGTTGTGGTCACAAGGACCGTCAGATATGGGATTGGTAAAAGGGGCATTACTAGTGGTAATCAGGCCTAACACAGAATATAGACCTAGAGTGAGACAATACCCCTTGAAACCAGATGCACAGGAGGGCATTAAGCCGGTTATAGAAGATTTGCTTAAAGCAGGAGTGATTACAGAATGTCAAGACTCACCATGTAACACCCCCATTTTTCCAGTAAAAAAGGCTYCACCATCCCAAGGATGGAGGATGGTACAAGACCTCCAGGCAGTAAATAATGCAGTTATTCAAAGAGCCCCCTGCGTCCCAGATCCACACACGCTTCTGAACTCACTCAACCCAAAAGCAACATACTTCACTGTAGTGGATATTAGTAATGCCTTTTTCTCGGTACCTATTCACAAAGACAGTCAGTTTTGGTTCGCATTCACTTATGGTCAAAAAAGGCTGACATTTACTAGACTCCCTCAAGGATACTGTGAAAGCCCTACTATCTATTCCCAGGTAATGTCCAGTAGTCTGGCAAAATTCCTTCCTCCACAGGGAAGTCAGGTCCTGCTCAATGTTGAYGACATTTTACTGGCCTCCGAGACATATGAGCAATGTAAAACAGACACAATCTCCCTTCTGAAACATCTCTATGAAGAAGGTCATAAAGTCAGTAAAAGTAAGCTTCAAAGGTGTAAACAACAAGTTAAATATCTGGGACATCAGCTGAGTGTAGGAGGAAGAACCATTGTCCCAGAAAGAAAAGCAGCAGTTTTGCAAGCACCAAAACCACAGACAAAGAAACAGATAATGTCATTTCTGGGCTTAACAAACTATTGCAGGAGCTGGATCCCAAATTATGCAGAAATAACAACACCCTTAAGCACTCTAATGTACAAAACTAATCTAAAAATGACCGACAAAATACAGTGGACCGAAGAAGCAGAAGAAGCATTCTGCAAGATAAAACAAGCCCTGGTGAGCAGCTCCACCCTGGCACTACCAGACTATTCAAAAGAGTTCATACAAATGGTAGATTGCAAACAAAATTTTATGACTTCAGTCTTGACTCAGAAACATGGTGACAAAAACAAACCTGTCGCTTACTACTCTTCTAAATTAGATCCAGTTGCATGTGCACAACCACACTGTATACGAGCGGTAATTGCGGCATCACTAGCAGTGACTGCAAGTGCAGACATAGTTCTGTTTCACCCACTGACATTAAAAGTGCCACACGCTGTTTCAGCACTTCTGTTGCAAAGCAACATGAATTTCCTGTTGCCTGCCAGACACCTAGCGTGTATGTCTACACTGCTCTCACAACCACATTTAAAATTAGAAAGGTGCACAACATTAAACCCAGCAACACTCCTCCCTACAGAAGAGGAAGGACAGCCTCATGATTACCAAGCTTTAGCTGAAACCACAGCAAAAACAAGAGCAGACTTATCAGATCAACCCTTAAACGAAGGGGAAATTTTATATGTAGATGGCTCTTCTCAAAAAAATGAATATGGTAAAACCCAAACAGGRTATGCTGTAGTTACACAGACACAGGTGTTAAAAGCAGAAGCATTACCCGCAACATTTTCTGCACAAGCAGCAGAACTTGTAGCACTCACTGAAGCATGCAAGCTAATGAAAAACAAAAAAGTTACCATTTATACAGATAGTCAATATGCCTTTGCAACTACCCACTCGTTTGCACAGTACTGGAAAAACAGAGGCATGATAACATCTACAGGAAAACCAGTCACACATGCACAGCTTTTAACAGAACTTATACAAGCTATTCAATTACCAACCAAATTAGCTATATGTAAATGTTCTGCACATACAAACAATCAGGATTCTGTCAGCCTAGGCAATGCATTTGCTGACAAAACAGCTAAACAGGCCGCACAAAAAGCTCTAACAACATCTTTCATGCAACAACAGAGCAAACTAGAAGATCAAACCCTACAAGACATGCAAAATCAAGCTCCAGAACAAGAAAAACAATACTGGATAAAAAAGGAGCACAAATAAAAGAAGGAATCTACTACTGACCAGAAAACAAACCCATCCTTCCAAAAAATTTGTATAAATGGGCAGCAATATTGAGCCATGGTAAAACTAATGTCTCAACAGGAGGGATGGTTAGTATGGTACAAAAGGTTTATACAACATATGGTTTCACCTCTTATTCTAAAATTTTCTGCAAAAACTGTTTGATCTGTGCAAAACATAACAGTCAGGGTAATTTGAGACCCAGACCAGGTCAGTTTCCTGAAACACATTATCCATTTCAAACCATCTGTATGGACTTCATTGAACTAAATCCTAGTGAAGGTAAAAATACTGCCTAGTTATCATAGACCCACTTACAAAATGGATAGAACTAACCCCATCAAAAAAGCCAGATGCATTAACAGTTGCCAAAGCATTATGAAAAGACATAATACCGAGGTATGGAATCCCGGAGAAAATCTATAGTGACAATGGATCACATTTTGTAAACCAGATCATAAGCAGAATAGGTGAAGCTTTTCATATTGACCTAAAACACCATTGCGCCTACCATCCACAGTCAGCAGGACTAGTGGAAAGAACAAATGGAACCATCAAACTAAGACTAAAAAAGGGCATGGAGGAAACGGGTAGAAGCTGGACTCAATGTTTAGACTTAGTAAAACTATTTATAAACATCACCAGCACGAATGGTCTATCGCCCTATGAGACCCTGTTTGGAAAACCATACAGACTCCCACTATTTCAAAACAAATGAGAAACAGATGATGAAAGTAACCTAGCAAATTATATGATAAAGATGCTAGAGAAAAAAACGAGAGGAAGAAACTGACCCTGACGACGCAACTTCTGTGTCCCAACAGGAAACTCCACTCGTAGAACCGGGAGATTGGGTCCTGGTTAAAAGCATAAAGAAGAAGCACTGGCATTCACCCAAGTGGGAGGAACCCTATCAAGTACTATTAACAACAGGCACAGCTCTCAAAATAGCAGAAAGAAACACGTGGATCCATTTAACTCATTCTAAAAAGATCCTCAACTATGGACAAGCCTAAATTACATCTGTTAGTGATCACCTGGGCCCTTACCCTATTATTAATCATTTTAGTACTGGCAATGTGGTATCTGTTGTAAATCAGATCTGTACTTTTCCAAACATAAAAAACCTCCAGAGGGAAGTCCGTTGTTCAAAGGGAGCTGTAGTCCATAGGATACAGCTGTCTCAAATCGGTGAAGATTGACCAAAACCTCTGCCGAGAGGAAATTAGGGAAAAGGAATCATCTGAAACAGAACAACAAAATGCTGGTTAAACTTTTCAGTGACTCACTAATGGCGCTGACAACCATAATAATACTTTTACACTTAGGAACAATGGGGACAGCCTACAGTTCAATGGGATATGGACTAAGTGGTCACTTTTCTGGATCAAGACAAAAGTTTTCCAAGGCAGTGCCATGCACTGATAACTTTCAGGGTCAGAAATCAAGTGGAGTATTTCTCTGCTACAATGCTACCCGAATCACTAGTCTAGTGTACATTCAGGATCAAGCTTTCACATCTGGGAAAAGCAAGGTTGGCCCAGGACATTATCCAGGGTATGAGTACTACCTTGACGCGAAACGGATGGAAGTAAAAAATAACTGTGGGGAAATGTTTTTGCCACAACTGCAGGATGGGATAAAAAATCTTATGGATGGTCAGATGATGCAAAAAACTAGGAAAACAAATAACTAAATTCCACAGACATCAACTAACTCAGTCCTTCTCCTTCACCATAAATACCACCGCTCAGCAGCTGGATTYAAAACATTGCACATCCTTTCTATTATGTGTGTATAAATTAGGAACAGATCCGTGCTGGCCAATAAGTGTGTGTCCCAAAATTGAAAAGAATCAAATAGCTGTAAACAATAYGGAAGGAACCCTGACCACCGAACCAAAAGCAAGTAGTTCCAAATTGGTCAAAATTATGAATAAAAATATGTCAGCGGATGAATGGTTTTTGGTGGTGACTGGAATTTCAAAGTTGAACAATAATTGGCTGATAATGGCAGAACAGGCAGCAAACACGAGCAACACAGACTGTGTCGTGTGTATGGGCCCGAGACCGCTATTAAGAGTGGTGCCGGCAACTTTTAATCAAACTTGTATAATAAATGTCATGAACTCCACTAATCCCAAACCAGACTGCAAAAAGTGGGATACGATTTACCCCTTGACTAAGGCTGAAAAAGAAAAACCTACGTTTTCTAACATAGTGGCAAAAAACAACTTTACCTGTGTTAACAGAACAGGAAAAGGTAAACTCTTGGGTAAACTGCCTAGTGACCGATGTACTGATTCTGTAAGCACGGGTTTATACTTCCAACCCAAGTCAAGGAGTGACATCTGGTGGTGGTGTGGAGATAACAGACTTTTTGATAAACTGCCTTTCAATACAACAGGGCTCTGCGCTCTTATTACATTGCTTTTACCATTTAGTGTCATTCCCACTTCCGCTGAGGATCTAATGATCAAAGCTGAATCTCTTCTGTCTTCTCAGTGGAGCAGACAGAAAAGAGCTTTTGACCTGGGACCAGACCCAACTTACATTGACTCCATAGGTGTACCTAGAGGAGTGCCTGATGAATATAAATTAGCAGATCAGGTTGCAGCGGGATATGAAAACATTCCAATAATCTCCGCCCTTTTCCCTATTACACCAAATAAGAATCTGGATCGTATAAATTACATCCATTTCAACGTCCAGCGTTTGGGCAACGCAACACAATTGGGTTTTGAAGCCATCCATGAGCAGCTGGCAGCCACTTCACTGATGGCTTTCCAGAACAGAGTAGCTCTGGACATGCTGTTGGCAGAGAGGGGCGGGGTATGCACACTGTTTGGAGAAACATGTTGTACTTTCATACCCAATAACACGGCACCGGACGGTAGCCTCACAAAAGCCCTGGAAGGTCTGAAGACCCTCAACAGTAAAATGAAAGAGCACTCTGGCATTGACACATCTATGTGGGACTCATGGATGGACATGTTTTGTAAATGGAAGACAATGGTGGCATCCATTATGTTATCGGTGGCTGTGTTTGTAGCAATACTGACCTTGAGTGGATGTTGTTGTATTCCCTGCATTCGAAGTTTGGTTAATAGGTTAATAACAACCGCTTTGCAACCTGTCGAGCAGAAGTTATATGCACTTMTTCCTGTTGATGAGGAAGATGTCCATGAGGAAGATGAAAGTCATGATCCCTCATATCTGTATCCACATATGGATTTTGACTTTGTTAACGGTGCTGATGTTGACTAACCACTTTCTCTCCAAGGTGTAAACTAAACATGATCAGTCCAGCGAAAATCTGAAACGAAGTGTTGGTAATGTGAAATTTTTCTGTGCTATAAAATAGTGATAAACAGGAGGGAAATGTTGGAGAATTTATTACTTTTATTCTTTTACTTTACACATGTAGTTATCTCTGTTTTATTTCTATAAGTGTGATTTCCTTTACATGCTTAAAGG